TATATATATATGTATATATATATGATGTGTGCGTGCGTGTATGTGTGTGTGTATATATTCAGCACGCTTTGAGCTTGTTTTACCCTTATGCAAAGAATGTCAAAAATCAATTCCCTTTAACTCAGCGTGGTATGTATGTCCACATGCCACTACGTGTAAAACAATCGAGTTTCATTTAATTCATCATCAGCCATCGTGCCGGAATTACTCACGTCGGAAATTACGTAACTGCTATAAAGATAGCCAAAATATTTGGCGAAGAAAACACGCAACAAGAGAAATACGTGTAAATAAAACGTACAGACAAAAATAGTGCAACGGGGTAGGGCACCGCATTCGCGCGATGAGCGAATTCAACAGAATCACCAAGACAACTCGTATCGCTCGCAGTAATATAGGTGGTATTGTATAGCGGAACTATACAGTACTTCTCGTTTAAATGTTGATAGTCATAGAATGAAACGTAGATAAGTCTCGAAGGGCCATCGTCCCAATTCTCTGGTATAACCTCCGCGCGGCACTACACTCTCATCCCCGATTAAAATTTCTATCGCAAACGTAAAATTCCTATCGCATGTGAGAGAGATGATGTTTTGAGTGAAAGGCTTGTCTTTTGCCGATCCGGATCGCTTGCTCAAACGAGTCGAGCATATCTGCCGAAACGACGCGTCACGCTGTAATATTGACTTAATCGTTTATTGTGCACACCATTCGTTTATCACAAAACATCTTGCATTATCACCCCCGAGCCCCTGACAATTTGGTTGACCCCCTAGCAGGCCCCATATAGAAAAAAATATGGCAGTCTACGTCATTGAAAATACCTATGACAGTTCAACATGTAGATACGCCTTATCTCGTAGCTACGGAAGATAAAACGACAAAGCGAGTTCGCATAGAAATCAGTTTGCCTATTGATCAGCTCGTAGAATTTTCTTCTCTTTCTCAAATATTAAAATCCAGAGTAAATATTTTGTTTCGTCCGCGCATGAATCAGATCGATATTCCACGAGCTGATCGATCGATCGAAGTAGGCAAAACAAATCTTTTTATAATTTTAAAATAGAATTAAAAATTGTGAGATATAAGATTCGTTTTATTTGTAATTCATTATTCTTGCAAAAATCACACGAATCACTCTTAATTCGTTAATTCAATGTTTAAAACTAATTCCTGATATTCCTAAATAAATCTTCTGACAATAATAAATTTATTACGTAAATTTTCTAACAAGTAATCTGCACTTTTAATTGATGAAAAAATGAGTATTTCGACCATATAATACATAATGGAATAGAGAAAATTCACACGAACCACTCCCCCCTCCCTTAATTCATTAGTCCAGTATTTAGGAACAATTCCTGATATTTCTAAATAAATCTTCTGACAATAATAAATTTACGTAGTAAATTTTCTAACAACAAATGATCTACATTTTTAATTGATAAGAGAAGAATTTTACGTTTATTGTTAATTTCGTAAATGATGAATTCGGCCATATAATATGCGATGGAGTAGAGAACGTGGAACGATTAATTATTTTTTAATCTTTCCGTCTTCTAACAAAGATCGTACAACCTTTCTTTCGTCGACATGACTTATAAAGTACATCGTTTTATTTATAGTTTTAAGTTAGAATCATCAAAATAGAAATTGTAGAAACAAATAAGAATACGCATCGATCTTCGAGCGCTGCGATCGATGCAGAGTTGCCGATCATCTCGTGTATTTATTATACGACTTTTTGATTTTGATTACTCTTATTAAGAAAAATGATGGGGTAGGCATTTAATGAATATTTAACAAGGTTTGGTAACAGTCTACAGTCTGTTGTTCAAGTAATTACAATAATTCGTACTTAGTACATTGTGGAATGTGCGAGGAGGAGCTACTGTGTTACGCAGCTCTGCATGATGCCATCCAAAAAATACGTAATAAACACGAAGATTTCGTGTCTTAGGCACCATCAAGTTGATATTTTACCGCTCGACGTGAGATATGAACTGTTTAATTGGAACAGATTTACGGCTGAGCAATATAAATCCGTATTTCTTATTTTTACTCGGTAGCACGTATACGTGGCAACAGAGCAAAGTTGTCCGAGTGCTCTGTCACTTCCTAGTCAAAAGAAATTCTTCGGGCACAAACAATAATATATTTACACCGTTAAAATAGTGGAGTACCGTACAGCTCGACAGGAATACTGAAGAATATTCACTTGATGTATTTCAACTGTCTGTCAATACATTGATAAAGAATATTTCTGTGTGCGTATTAACGTATCACCAAGCGTCGGTTTATGTATTACATGTGCAACCTGTGTTAAACACCTTACGGTTGGCATCTTATAAATGAATCTGAGGACAAGTATAATTTGAATTTCATTTGCAAAAGTGCCACATGTATCAATTAATTGATCAATTACGCGGCACGTAAGGAAAATATACGCATATATCATCATACGAACGAATCTGTAAACATACACACACACACACATTTATTTACATAAATCTACGAGTGTTGAAATTTATAAACATTTTATAAATTTAATTAAAAATTAGAGGTCACTTTTGGTTGTAAGTTTTAATATTATTGTTTACTTTTCTTATTTATGTTACAATATTATAAAAATTCTTTTATGAATATTATTTTAACTATTATTCGATAATAAAAATTCTATTTTGCAATAGAGTATATTTATAATATTTGTTTCAGCCAAAGCACCGTTTTAGGTGGTTATGAATCTTTGACTGATCAATATATTTTCCGATGATATATGACAAAATCCAAAAATATTGGTTTTAAACTTGACAAACTTTGGATTTGAAACTTGCTTTTACTTCAAGAGATACATACGTTGGATTCTGTGCAGAAGGATACATTTACAAACAGTAAATCACGTATAATGTTGAATTTTTAAATAAATGAAGTTGGATTTGAATTTGAATTAAAGACTAGATCAGATTTTACTTACGCTAGTTTAAGTTTGGATTAGATTGTGGCTTGATTTAAGTTTATATTAAATTTGGAAATTTTTAGTTAAAATTCAAAATTTATACTATTAGATAATATAAACATTTTTTATATCCTGAAACATTTTTAAGTGCTTAAGAGAAATGAAATAAAAGAATATTAATATTTAAATATCTAATATAGTCAAAAATATTTAATACTGTAGAAGAGTAGTCAATTTTCGAAGAGTTTACCTTAATATTTTGTCTTTATTTTGTTAATACAGGTATATTATAGCTCCTGGTATATTTATGACTTTTGTACATACAATAAGTTGATGTTGGCTAAATTTCAAAAACCTAATGACAAAATATAAAAGAAGAAAGCAGCGAGAATAGTGCTGCTAATGGTGCTTTGGCACTGTTATTATTATCCTCCTAACAACATAATGGAGGAACCAGCAAAGAAGAAACAACGTATTGAAAACAATGAAGTTGAAAAAGATACAGTATCAGATATTGAACAATTACAGAATAGTCTGTTGGCACAATGCTTATGCAATATACCAGAAAGTAGTTTACGTAAACCATTCACTAGTACAACAGTGGAAGCTGCAGATGGTACTTTTAGATCTTCTTTGTTATCAGAATGGGAACCTGATCAAACTTTAGAATTCATGAGCGCTTTACAGCTATTATTTGACTTAGCTATTAAACAAAATATTAGAGGTATTATGTGTAAAAGAGTAGTAGATGTTTGTGATGCGCTGGCGCGAAACGAGCATGGCATTATAGATCAAATAATTGACCTATCATGTACAACAAATAAATTTATATCGTTTGCTGCTAGCAGAGTTCTTGCATCATTTTTTATCATAACAAAGGAAAATATTGATACAGCATGGTTGGAAAGATTAACACAATCTTTAGTGAATACACATTCTCCGAGCCAAATGCTATTTACCTTGGATGTTGTAAAAAGAGTTGTAGAACACAAGGACTGCAGTATTCACCCTCTTGAAGATACAGACAGTATAGTACTGCCATCTCATTGTAATACAATATCAGTTTCAGATGTAGAGAGTTTTGATAGTACACCAGTAAAAGCAATGTGTGTCAAAGCATTAGAATCCAAATGGACTATACTAGTATCAAAATTTGATGCTATTTTGAGTTCATATACACCACAACATGAATCAGCTGTCATTACATTTCTTGATTTATGGGAGTCCATTATTTCTGTTAAAGCCAACTTGTCTGTCATTGACACCAAACTTTTTTATTCTCAGTTAGATAACCTGGTTGTACTTTTAAATGTTAATGTTCCTGGTGTAATTTGGAGACATCTACTTGGGTTATTTAATGAAGTATTATGTTATGGAAGTACTTTGGCATTACAAGATGTGTTGCCAGATGAACCTTGCTCTCTTGCACACCTGATTGTAAGAGCTGTAAAAGATTGGAGATTACTGGATGCTTTACCATATAGACATGGTTCTGGAAGATTTGGAGGAGGATCTGGTGAAGGTGACCGCCCTCTTCTACAAAAAATAGTGCTCTTAGTTTTAAAAAGTGTTGCTGTGACTGTTAAAGAAACACGCAGCGATTCTAGTGACTCTTCTTTGGGCTCTGAAGCAGAAGATCTTGATGCTGATATGGCAGTTATTGAGAGGAGTATTAGAGAAGTTTTAAGACAACTTGATCAGTGTGTTAAGACATTAATGCCATTTCATCCTGAAATGCCTTTATCACAGTGGGTTGTACAAATGTTTCATGATCAAGATGATTTTTTAATTGAAGGCATGGTATGTTGTTTAGATGTAGCTGTTGGTTTATTTTATAGAGGACCTCCACAAAATGATCTTGGTCATATGCTTAGTCCAACTTTAACTTTTATACAATTTATACATGCTGTATCACATGACCCAGATGTTTTATTAGATTTACTTGTCAGTAATGAGACCTGTTTCTTATTATACTTATTGAGATTTTTGAAATATGTTAAAAGAAATTGGACAGAATTTGTCTCTTGTTGTGGAAGAGAGCTAGATGATACCATGACAATATTGATAAGACTTCGTTTAGCAATTGATAGATTAGTATCAAAAGATTTGTTTCCTTATAACATAAATCCAGTTCTACGTTTGTTAGAAAAATGTGAATCCTTCTATGAAGGAAATATAGATAACTAATTATTGGTTGCATAATGAGATTCAAAATTTTAATTCACTAAATTAATGTACAAATTGTAAAAATGAAAGCTTTATCATCTGGCTTATTTTCAGTCAGGAAGCAATACAAAATTATATAATCTTAATAACTTCATTTTGATAAATGACTATTACTATCTTTTGTATTAAATATCTAGATTAGTATTAAAAGATTCAGAAAAAAGAACATTTCTATTTATTATATTTAGCAAAATTTTGTTCATTCAAAACTGTTGTTAAAGTTTTACATAAGAATTATATTTTGCATTTCATGGTTGAAGTATAAATGGATTGAAGTAGTACAAAGATTAGCTAAAATTATATACTTCACAATGAAAATGCACATTTATGGTGCTATGAAAACATATTTGCCAAAGCACCATTCAAAATAAATTTAAATGTATACTACTAGACTAATATTTATATCTATACGTAAAGATCAAATGTACAATCTGCCAGTCACATAAAATTGTATAAGTTGAATCCTGATGTACGCTATTACATATGTATAAACATGTACATTATAATACTAAATTCATAAAAAATAAAAAAAATTAGACTAAAGATTTTTCAGAGTATGAAGATTTTTAGGTAAATATTGAGAAAAGGAGACCCAGCCCCAGTGACATTGACTTTGATATATATTGTCAAAAATAACATTCTCCTGAGCAACTTACAAAAAGTTTTAGCCATCGCTTATTATTTCTCAAAAAGTTACTAATTTTACAGTGTCGCTGGCCAACTTCCATCGATTAGAGTCTTATCTAGTCCAAACTAATACCAATAATTTTCTTTGAAAAAGTGATGATTATTTTTTTCAATTATTGATTCGAGTTAGATAAATTTCCGGCCGGCAGGACCCGGTTGGAGATTGTGGAAAAAAAATAAGTGCCAATTATTTATTTATTTTTTTACTTAGAAGACTTCATATTTTTTATAAACATATCATTGTTGTTTTTGAAATAATAAGCAGAACGGACTAAACAATTAATTCAATATATCAAAATTTTATTTTGTGACTACCTAAAATTTGTTTGTTTATTTAAATGTATAAGTATATAATATAGAACTATTTCTTTGTAAGCTATAAGTTTTTTATTATTAGATTATTCTATAAATTTTGATTTTTCTTTCTGTTAATTTTTGTCCTTAGTAATATATCAAAGTTGACGTCATTTCTTTTTGTCAATATTTACTAATTTTTATAAAATAAATTAATAATATAAAGGCATAAATTATATCAACATATTGAAATTTTGTGCCACAGGCATAATAAAATATTTAATTCTGTTTTTTAAATCAAGATCTATAACATTTGTTTATTTAATAACATATCTATAACAGAATTTTAAGACAATTCTGTTATATCCATATACTTAAATACAAGTGTAAAATTTAATAATGTTTATTAATATGAAACATTGTTATATTGTCATGATTCATTAATAATGTATAAATAACAATATTGTAAAATACTGCAAGTATTGTAAAGTAAATGTAAAGTTACTGGCAATGTGAATGAAAATTAACATTTAGAGCTATGCCAGTATTAATAAATTATTAGATACAAATGGCAATTATTCCTAAGTTAAATTTAGGAATAATCTGCTATTATTCTTTTGGAATTCTCAACAAACTAAAATATTTGTACATATTAATTGTAATGTTAATTACACATATTTTAAAATTAACTTTGTAAGTATGATATATATAATACACTAAAAATCTACATATTTTTACTTTTATAATCGTGATGCAATTTTATTTATCATTTCCCTTTGCAGATTTTTTATTAGTGATTGCAATTCACTTATGATATAAAAAATAATAAATTATAAATATATACTGAAATAGTAATAATCAGTAGTAATCAGAATTAAAAAAGTATAACTGTGAAATTATAACGCAATATTGGATATTTTACATACTCGTATGTTAATTAAATCTATTCCAATACGATTAGAACTTGTAATCTACAAATTTAAAGATTGTATAGAATCTAGAATTAATCATTATTTGAAATTGAATCTGCTAAAATTTTTCAAAATCTAGAAAAATATTTATACAAGAGTATCAAAATATAAAATTTATTATAATTAACGGAGAAATTCATAATCAAAACAAAAGAGAAAGGTCAATCTGCCGATATGTCAATTTTTCCGATTTAGATAATTTTTGAATAAGTTTTAAAAATCAATATTTTAAACAACTTTTTTTTGTACATATAATTTCCGCACTAAGTTTTCGAGATATTTGCAAAAAAATTGTCGGTACAACGAATTCTGTTCGCAATTGTGCGTCCAGATAGTGCACATACATATATGTCAGTTTCGAATTATCTCATACTATTATATTATTCAGCAGCCGTCACTGCTATCGGATAATATAATAGTATTCGAACTAATCGGCAGTACATTTATTTACATATTTATATAAACAAGAGATAAAAATTATATATTATATGGTACCAACAGTTTTTTGCAAATATCTTCGAAGCTAAGCGAGTTCGATAGTTATCTACATAAAAAGCGAGTTATCTACATAAAAAGTTCAAAATGTTAATTTCTACACATAATTAAAAATCATTCAAATCGGTGAGAACGTAATATGTCGGCAATTTCATTAGAAAAAGAAAAGAAAAACTGAATAAAAATTAGGATAAGTCTATCAGACATATCAAGGAGAGCAGCCTCGCGTTTAACGTTCCTAACAAGTATTCTATGTCCAATATGATACGAAATTGAATGTAATGAGAATTTATAAACGCATAAGCAATTGTGTTCAAAAACTCGAAAGCAAATTTGAAAATAATTAATTTATCTATTTAGTACTGCTTTAGTAGTGCGAATTAAATCCGAATGTAACATATTAATAAATAAGGGATGGGATCTATGTTGAGGTCTATGTTGTGTAAAATTTTGCCTTAGCATGAAACGAATAGTAATATTACATATTATATACATTCGATAAAGTCACAACCTAAGTCAAATGGAATATATATGTTATATATGCATATATATATCATAATTTTGCTTAAAAAATTTTTAACAAATAGTGACGGTTAATCAGTAGGACGATCAATTAGTAAGACGTAAGTATAATTTTAGGATATTTTTTTACTGCAAAATAAAATTATATTAGATTACATATATTTGTTTTTTTTTTTCAAAACAAAACATATTTTAATAAAGACATGAATTTTACATATCGAAAGCTCTATTATATTTTATAATTGACTTATTTTATATAATTATATGTATATTCTTATCATTTAAAATTATTCACAGGGACATGTGAATAAATTAGACTTTTTTAAATAAAGTCATTTTTCAACAAAAAATTTCGTTGAAATTTCGTTTTGATTACAATTTTGTCGATACAAAGCTATTTCAGTTCTTATGAATATGAATCAAATTATTAAAAGATTCAAAATAAAATTGGCAATATCGTGAAGATGATGTAAATGTAAATGTGGTATATGTATACCTTATCTATGTTGTTACTTATAATACGACATCTACATTTCTTTCATACTCTATATTCTACATCACAAAATCTTGTGGCATATTGACAGTGTATACGGCAAAAACAGGTATCGTATATAATTTGTTAATATTTTTATTGTAAGTACGTGTTATTTTGATTTCATCAAGACATTTTATATTTCGGTAACAATTATTTGTTTTATTCGATTGAAGGTTTTGTCAAAATGGAACTTAGATTATTGGAGAGGATACAAAAACTTGGGTATGTAACTTGAGGTTATGATGTTCAATGTTATACTATTATCTACAATTTTTTTTAAAAATTATATAATTTTATAGACGTTTATTGGTTTTTTAGTAGTTTAAAACAGGATATATTTCAAAAAACCGTATGCCATGTGAATATCGTAATTAATGCTGTAATATTCAAATTTTATTTTATTATAATCTTGAAATAGGCATGATCGCAACTAGTAAATACTAATCATATACAGTGTTTAAAGGAAATTCTTTATTTATATGCAATAAATTTTAATTGAACATATAAAATTATTAGTGCAATTCTTCATAACTGTATATTTAATATCAGTGTTATCGTATCATCTAAAAAAAATTTTTTTTTACAGGTATAATGGTCAACTAATAGATCCTAGTAAATTTAAAGAGGCTCTAAAACAAGGTCCAAAATCAATAGAATTTACACAGCTTGTAGCGTGGTTAGCAGATGAACTTGCAATACTCAATGATATGGATGAAACTATCCATGCAATAGTGTCTCCAGATGATTCTAGTTCTTTCCTATTAGAGTTAAGCTGTTTTCTTAAGGAATTAGGATGTATGAATAAGAGATTAATGACTGGTAATGTTAATACAAGACTAGCAACTGAACAAGATAGGTGTATCTTATTAGATTTTTTGGGAGCAGAATTGAAAACTTGCAGATTATTAGAATTTAGGAAACAATGTGAAGCAAGTTCAAGTTCAAGTTCAAGTTCAAGTTCAACGACTGTTGTTGTTGTAAGTTTTTATCATTAAAGTACGATTAAAATATATAAATGATTTTAAAGTTTTATTAAAAAATATATATATTTTTTATAGGAAGAGAGTGATACAGCTAAAGATCTTAAAGATATGTTAATAGCTTTAAATTTTGAGAAACCACCAGATGATATCACTACTGAGAAGCTCTTTACAAGACTGCATAACAAATTGACTGAAGTGTTAAAAACAGCTCCTTCTGAGTTAGTAGGGCAACCATTAATTACTCATGAATTCTCAGAAGAAGATTGGAACGATCTTCAACATATACAACAAGAGTTACATGATGAATATCGAATGCGTCGTGATATGTTGCTCAAAAGGCTTGATGTAACAGTGCAGTCTTTTCTAGTAAATATATATAACTATTTTTAAGATAAAATTATAAAAGCTATTTACATTTTTATGTTATCTAAAAACATGTATTATTTTTAAATATAGTGGTCAGATAGAATAAAACCTCAAGAAGCTGAAGTAAATAGACAATATGAAGAAACTAGGAAACTTCTAAGTGCAGAACCAGATGTTACATTTGCTGATTTACTAGCGGCGAGAGATGATATTGCACTAATGGAGAAAACAAGCAATGCAAGTGTTCGAAAAAATACTCAAACTGAAATTAATAAAGTTATTATAGGAGAGGTACCAGATAGAGGTGGAAGACCGTATGAACAAGAACCTCCACCGCCTGAAATGCCACCTTGGCAAAAAGATCGAGTACCTGGACCTTCAACTTCTGGGTAAGTTTTTAATTAAATTAAATTAAATAAATTTAGACAACTCAGAATGGATATATATTTTTATGTTATTTTAGAGGTGGACGAGGAGGTAGAGGTGGTGGTCGTGGAAGTGGCAGCAATTTTCAAACTTCTAATTCCTATATCGGTGATAAAAATTCATACAGTGGTAATACTGGTTATGGAGATAGCAGTTACGCTTCTAATAGTGGTGGAGGAGGAGGATATGGAGGAAAACAAGGAGGATATGGAGGAGGACAAGGAAGCGGATATGGAGGAGGACAAGGAAGTGGATATGGAGGTGGATATGGAGGAGGGCAAAGAAGTGGATATGGAGGAGGACAAGGAGGTGGGTATGGAGGAGGACAAGGAAGTGGATATGGAGGACAAGAAGGTGGATATGCAGGCGGATATGGAACAGGACAAGGAAATTATAAAAGTAGTCAAGGAGGTGGTTATAAAGGAGGTCAAGGAAGTGGTTATAAAGGAGGTCAAGGCAGCAGTGGTTATAAAGGAAGTCAAGGAAGTAGTTATGGAGGAGGAGGACAAGGAGGTGGTTATGGAGGAGCAGGGCAAGGAGGTGGTTATGGAGGAGGGGGACAAGGAAGTGGTTATGGAGAAGGGGGGCAAGGAAGTGGTTATGGAAAAGGAGGACAACGAGGTGGTTATGGAGGAGGAGGTCAAGGAAGTAGTTACGGAGGAGGAGGTCAAGGAAGTAGTTACGGAGGAGGAGGACAAAAAGCTGGATATGGAGGAGGACAAGGAGGTAGTTATGGAGGTGGTGGGAATAATAGTTACAGTGGAGACAGCAGAGATGGAGGTAATTGATTTAAGAAAACAGATAATAAAAGTGAAAATAAATATAAACGTTTATAATAATTGTGATTTGTATACAAGAATGTTAATCAAATTAATAATCAATTTATGTAGGATATAAATCTGAATATAAAGGTGGACAACAGTATCAAAGAGGAAGTAGTGGTAGAGGAAGAGGAGGTAGAGTTCAAGGAGGTTGGAATCAAAGCGGCGCGAATTCTGGAACAGATAATTATCAACGTGGATATAATCGTGGAGGAGGCAAAGGAGGACGACAATACTAAAATATTTTATGTAAATTATTATTCTTATGATCATAATCATAATAGTAAAAAATATTTACATCACAGAGCATAATAATTAATATCAATGAATTTCTATATAACATATAAATGCTTATATTATATTTCCGAAATATTAATTCTAAAATTAAAAATAAAATTAGAAACATTGATATTATTTTTATAACATAAATTATTTAATTAGCGAATTGTAATAATTGTTATATTCTACTTTATAATACTTTTTTTGTGTGTTCTGAATATTAATTTTGGCTATGTACTTGCGTTTGAATTTTGTATATATGCATTTTTTGTATAATGGAGAAATGTCAAGAATGTTGAAATTAATCTGTATAATGTAAGAATGCGAATAGACACAAAATTGATTGATTAAATTATTTAATTGTATAAAATAATTACTGAATATATATTAATGCATATCAATAATTTATATTTGAATATGGATGAATATATATATAAAAAGTACATCAAGTGATTTAATTCTCATCTAATGATTATCTTGAGTGATTATTAATTAATTTTCTTCAAGTTTATAAATGAATACTATATTGTATTGCGAAAATTTGTACAAAAATTAATTATACTCAGAATTTTTTTGTCTCATAAAAGTAGAACAATACCTTCTATATTCCTCTTGGTTCATGACTCAGTGTTTTATCAGCCGTCTACAAATTACACGGGTTTAGATACATGGGAAAACAAAATGCCGATGTGCGTTTGCTGGTTGAATCGTTGCATTTACTTTGCTTTATTTACGTGGAAAAATCAGAAATTTTGTCATATAGGAATATTAAATTTGATATTGATGTGATTTAATACAACATTTAAATATTTCACGTAAACTACGTCATAGTTTACAACTGCAATCTATGTACGTGTCATATAACTGATAAAGGTCAGTGTTTTGTCTGTTAAAGTGTTATTTTTTTTTTTTTCATGAGTATTGTTATCGAGGAGAATAAAGGAATATGTATTATCAAGAAATTGCACAATTAAAAGACACTTGATCGACTGATCATCTTAGCCACTTGTTATCAATTAGGTATTTATAACCGAACGTATATATAAAAGTTTATTATTAATGTTATTTCTTAGTGCAACTTGTTTAAATTATAAATTGTTCGGAAGAATATATCATTTATATATTTATATTGACTAATATATAAAATCACACAAAAATTGGTAAATATTAGATATTTTTATGGAATACAAAACAATTTAATGAATTATATGTAAATAATTTTTATTTCAATTTTATGTGCAAGATTTTTGAAGAAAATTCTATACATAAATTACAATTAGTCATAAAAAGAAGATGTCAGGGGGAGACAGAAAAAAACGTGCTTGTGACCGAGGACAGGGTTGGGAAGAGGCTGGAGCTGAATTTTATCAGGAAAGCTATCCTGCAGCAATTGAAGCAGATTTACAACAAGCATTACAAAGAGATCCTTCTCATATAGCTACTTTACTGCCAAGTAAAAAATCACGTGTTGGTAAGTCTGTCTATAGTAATAATAGAATTTATATTGTATGTTTAATATTTTGATATTATCAGCTAATGTTAATGTTAATGTTATTTATTTTAAATAGCAACTGCCAAACGAATACGCAATGATACTAAAACAACACTGAGGAGACGTACTAGTACAAGATCTCGTGGTACAACTACATCAAGACGCATGTCAACGAATATTCATGATGCAGCAGTATCAATGTTACCAGACTTATCTGAAAATTTATCTAATGAAGAACGTACTTGGGAAGAAATAATGCAAATCAAAGCCATGCCTGTGTGCATGGCACAAAAGATACAATTAAAAAATCAGTTACAAGTATGTTGATGATAATACTAATGAACAAAGGTAAACTTATGATGTACTTGATTAAAAACTACTATGTGTCTGTTTATATATATTCCAGAGTGCTACAAAATTAAGATTACAAGGTTTTGAGCAATTGAAATGGCAACGAAGGAAAGCTTGGCAACAATTTCGGATCAGAATGAAGGAAGCATATTCAAAAATGGAGTTATGGAATGATAGCCTTAAAACAATTGGTGGGAACTTTGGAATGGGAATTGTTGCATACTTTTTATTCATCAAATGGTTACTGTATCTTAATGTTCTTTTATTTGCAATTATATTTTTATTTATTGTGTTACCTGCAACATTATTGGATATGCCAGAAGATGAAACATGCGTAAATTCTAATAACAGTCACAGTATATCTTGCTGTTCAGAATTATATTGGAATATAACTCAAGAAAGTGGTAACATAGCTGGTATATTAGAATACACTTTATTATTTTATGGTGCATATAGCCATATGACTTATACTTCTGGTATATTTTTTAATTTACCATTATCCTATATTTCTGCAACTATTGGTGTATTTATTTTTAGTTTAATAGTCATTGTTAAGTCGGCTGCTAAAAGTTTTAAACAACGGGTAGTCGAAAATGAAGGTCAATTTTATCAATATTGTAATTTAGTTTTTGGTGGTTGGGATTATTGTATACATAATGAAAAGTCTGCAGCTATAAAACACAAAGCATTATATAATGAAATGAAAGCATTTTTAGAAGCTGAGAGACTAGAAGAAGAAAGACAAAATCGAACGAGAGAAGAAACAACAAAATTATTTCTCATGCGATTGTTCATTAATTTAATAGTTTTAGCAGTATTATGTGGTTGTGGTATGTTTATTTATTATATATTTGAGTTTTCTTTCAACCAAATTTCACCACAAACTGATGAAGCAAACATCACAGATTCACAGTATTTATCTTTAAATAGGATCGTTCACTTATTTTTCGAATTTCTTCCGTACATGTGTATTGTCATCTTAAATTTTGCAGTACCATCTCTGTTTCGATATCTGGTCTCTTTAGAAAATTATAGTCCTTCATTTGTTATTCGCATAACTCTTTTCCGAACTGTATTTTTACGACTTTCTTCTCTCATTGTTGTACTTACATCATTTTATAGACTAATTGTAACAGAGGTAAAGGATAATGAATGCACTAACAATACTAGTAAACGACCATTATGCTGGGAAACATTTGTAGGACAGCAAATCTTCAAACTCTATATCACTGATCTTTTTTTTCAATTTTTTATGACATTTTTTATCAATTTTCCCAGAGCATTGATAGCAAAACATACAGAAAACAAAGTATTACGTTTTTTCGGTGAACAAGAATTTGATTTACCTAAGCATGTTTTAGATGTTGTTTATTTACAAACTATTTGTTGGCTTGGCTTATTTTACGCACCTTTATTACCATTGATTGCAATACTTGGTACATTCGTATTGTTTTATATTAAAAAATTTGCTTGTTTAGTAAATAGTACTCCATCAAGTAAAATTTACAGAGCAAGTAAATCGAATGCATTTTTTATGTTGATTCTGTTGATCTCTTTTATTTTATTTACTGTCCCAGTTGGTTATTCTATTGCAGAAATAGAACCATCAAAATCTTGTGGACCATTTAGAGGTTTCAAGTCTGTATGGTCATTATTAATTGTGGTTTTCGCAGAATTTCCTGACTGGCTTCAATCTATTTTATATTTTCTTGGTACTGCTGGATTTGGTGTACCAGCTTTTGTTATTCTTACTTTACTTCTATATTATTATTATGCTGTATCAATAGCAAACAAACACATGGTAACAGTTTTAAAGAATCAGTTAGTGCTAGAAGGTCACGATAAACAATTCTTACTTAATAGATTGAGTGCATTTATTAAACAACAACAAGATCAGAACAAGTATCATCAGGAGCAAGCAAATGAGTTGGGTACATTCTCATAATCAGTATTATGAAAGTCTAAGTAATTTTTACATAATAATCTCTAAAACGCACAGATTTAGTAAATGTTTCATACAATTGTATGTAAACAGTATAAGTGTCATCAAAATTTGATTAATTTATGACTAACTTTTTTAATAATAATATAAGACTGTTAAATCTATTTTTTTTAAATATATATTGAAACTATATAATGGTATTAAAAATACCTGAGCCAACTATATGATTTACAATTAAAAAATATTTAGAAAAGTATTGTATTTATCATTCAATAATTGACTTTGAATAAACAATTTTAAGTAAGTTAAAAAAAATACTTCAAAATCAGGGTACAAAATAAAAACCGTGCAATAGTAGAAGTCACAGATTGTTCACTATGTATATCTAATTTAGTATCAATAAGAGAAGCTAAAAATGCACATGCAATATAGTAATAAGTATAAGGACATTTTTCCTTTCTTAGAATTTTTTATAAAATACTAGAGAAAATAATGTTTTTTTTTTTTGTAGTAATACCAGATATCAGAACTTACTTTTTAATTTTATAAATAAATATTAGGGTGCTTTTGCTAAAATGAAATGAAGTGATATATGATGGACCTATTTTTAGATTAGCTGGGTATTAGGAATATGATGCAATTGTAAATAAGTTGTGTAGGCTGATCAGGAAATTTAAGAACATATTAATTTATAATAATTTATTATTTATGTATCAAAGTATTCATGAATTAAAAATGTTTTAATTTATATAAAAAAAATTTATCTCTATACACTTTATTTTTGATTAATCTTGTTTATGATTTTAGAATTTCTTAAAACTGATTTTAGATATTTACTTTATATATACAATTATATTTAATATTTCTTCTGTCATAAATTCTTACGAAACTATCTACTTTTTTTCATCTCTAATACTGCCATTGTACATGAAATTATTTTAACTTTTCTATATATATATACATATGTGCATGTATAAAAAGACTCCAGTAGGAACTATGCATGTATTTCTTGCAAATACTCATTCCAAAACTACGAACCTATGTTAAATAGTCTCTAAAAGGCATTTTATATGAATTTTATACAGATATAACCATAAATAAACAGCTGCATATGAATGTCATATAGAACATAACTTTGGAAAAGAATTATATTACACTGATTATAAATTTATAACTAATAGTCTATTTCTCTGTCATTATAAACAGTATTGAAAATACTATAGTGTATTACACTCAGTAGTATTATATATATATATATATATGTAATAAGAAAAGATCTCTGCTAACAAAGATGTAGTAAATGCTTTCATTTTCTCTCATTGCAACTTTTATATATTTATAAAAATAAGAAAATAAATTACAAATATACTATTTATCTTGTAAAAGACTGCACATTTTTGAAACAGCTTTCCTAATTAAACCAAAAGTCATTGCTTGTTCACATTATATGGGATTATAAGATGTCTGTTATGTATGACAAAAAGATATGCTCATGATATAAAACATGGTTAATAAACTATAACGTACATAAAATATGCAAAATATATTTATTTTTATCTTTATATCAAAATAGAACAATCTTCATAATCCACTGAATGTATAACAGTATTTTTCATATAATGTTAAGTTTCATTTTTAGTTATGATTCTGTAGAATGTAGCTAAGGAGGAAATATATCATAAATATAAACATTGATTATATTCTACCAAATACAATGAATTTTTATTTCTTATTTAATAACTTACTGCTTCGGCAATATCAATCCAATCCATAGCAGCTGCTAATGCATCATTTTTTGTTGGCAACTTATCATAATTCCAGTAGGTGAAATGCGGAAAAGTACCCGTGACATACAAATTACGTTTAACATTTTCTATTTCTGATTTTTTGTGTTCAACAAATATAATACCTTTATATCCAGGAGGAATTGTTATCTTTTTTCCATAAAGCGGACGTCCACGAAAGGAAGAGGTGTAAACTATATGTGAAAAGAATTTTTTTTTTGTTTAATCACAAATCTCAAGTGTTAATATTATTGGTGTAATTATTATTTGCAGGAAAAAATATACATACCAACTATGTATGTTTACCGATAATGAATTCAAATTTCACGAACGTACCTTCATCATCTCTTTTACAAATATAAGGTGTAAAATAAGTAGAAACATTGGCAGATTTATCACCACAAATTTTGCATGGCATTAAATGCAGTATCCTCTGTTTCTCCTCGGATAAATCACAACTCATATGTAAACGAATAGCCATGTTTAAACGGAAGTATTCTATTTCGGCGGGAATATATTTAACCTACATTCTTACCAATTTCAACTTTTTAAAAAATATATCCTTCACGTATTTAAAAAGCTTATAATTGACAATTGCTTAGTCAAATGTCTAAATTTTTATCAAATCTTTTCAGTGATTTTATTATCTATCTTTTGAGATACAAATGAACTAAGAGTAGTCCATTTTTCATTGAATTTATCTCGTTAAATCGAATTAACAAGAAATGTTTGAACTTGTAACTTCGAAATTATCTGCAGATGCACGATCAACCATGTACGATATTTATCAAGATATAAACAAGAGTACTCTTTTTGGTTCTGTTTCGTTATATTAAGTTGGCAAAAAAAATTGTTCAAAATTCAGAGTGCTTAGAAATTATTT